GGGAGGTGGGAGGAGGGTCCCTCCCGGCTGTCAGTCCCGCCCGCTGCGCAGGGCCCGGGACGGTAGGGCTCTGGCGAGACGGCGACTCGCCTACGGTCAGCGGGCAGGGCCCGGGGCGAGGCGGGACTGGACCTTATCGGCCCTGATTCCACCTTAGCTCTGCCCCGGCTGCTAGAACACGGCTCGTGGGGCGAGCTGGGGCCGCTGTTCCTCTGCTGGCCCTGGGCGATGGTGCTCGGGGTGGCCCCCACTGAACACGGCCTCAGGTCCACCTTGTCCCGAAGTGCAAAACCCAGGTCCTCGCTCTCGGCTCCTGGAGAGCCTCTCGCAGCCTCAAGGCCTCGGGCCTGGTGATCGACTGGAGAACACCTGGGTGCTTAGGCTCACCGAGGCTTGTCATTGCACTGGGCACTGTACAACCGCTCTCCCCCGCCCTCTAGCTCTGTAACCCCCCCAGGCCTTTCCTCAGAAGGGCCCCCCTGCGTGGACCCTGGGTAGTGCTGGTGATTCTGGGCTAGCTAGAGTCTCAGCTCTTATCTGCATTGCCCAATCCTTTACAGCAGGGAAAGGGGTAGAACCTTGTCCCCTATGAGGTTAACATGTAAAATGGTCTTCTAATATATGTGAGACTGAGCCTCTGTTTTGCTGCACTATCTCAGGTATAGCACCAGTCTGGACCATGGCAAGAGATGTTCTAACTCCGCTGGCACCGCTGACATCGTAGTGTAGATTGGGCCGGAGATGATTCTGAATCATATAGCTCCAGCAGGGTGCTGACTGTCCTACTACCTTCTTATGAAACCTAAAACAAAGGTCTTTGCTACTTATGGTAATTAAACTAGCTCCAGAAGTTAGAAGCTTTACAGCGTTAGAGCCACTTGTCCCCATAAATCCAGGGCAAGTTTTTAGAAAGGTGTGGATGGAGCCAAATGTGTGGCTTCTTCCACCCATCTATTTATGGCAAAAAAATGTCCAACACAAGTTTGGAGTGCATAAGCTGTTTTGTCTTTTATAGCTCACTTTATGCATTGAGAGTACTGAAGTAAACCATCTGAAAAGCAACAGTCTTAAAGGTGCCACAGGACCCTCTGTTGCTTTTTACAGATTCAGACTAACACGGCTACCCCTCTGACATCTGAAAAGGTGGCTTTTGGGTAAAACATGCACTGTTCTCCTTGACAGACTTATGTTGCTGAACATGTAGTTTCAGACTCAACCACTGCTGCATCCTCAAACTTTCAAATATTTAATTATACTTTCCTGTATACCTGACATTTCACTCCTTAAAACGGTATCAAATGCTGTGATTGAATCTAGCAGGCTGTTGCCCTATAATTATAGGAGTTATGAAACGTAGCTTTTCAACAAACCAACATAGTGCTGGAGGAGTTTTAAGGCATATTCACATTCCTGGGTAGGGCTGCTTCACACGTGGACAAGAAGTCCAATACAGAGAAATCAAGTCTTTCTGTATACTAGGATGCTGGTATTCCTAGGGCAGGATGGAGCTAGTTGAGGAAGAAGCCATAGTTCAAATGAACATAGTCCTAGTGATGTCAATGTTCGTTTCTATGAGTGTGTAAGAAGGGAAGCAGTTGCAAGACTGCTTAGAGGATTGGTGCCTAAATTCCTTTAAAGACAGGGTTGAGGGCCTGTGGTAGGTACCTTTCCCCAATACCAGCTATTATACTTTTCACTAGTTATCAGTGTGGCTCACTCCTTTGGGATTGTGGGCAGAACTTTCTGTTGAGTCGCATCAATTTCCTTCCAGTGCATCTCTTCTAAAATTGTAGTTTAATTACAATGTCATGAAGGTGCTGGTTTCCTTCATAGGGGAAAAAATAAAGCATTTGAAACAACTAGTAAAATTCATCTGAATGCCAAATTAGTCAATCTCTAGTTTAAAACTGAAAAGTGTTTAATGATCTGATTCAGAAATTAAGACATTGCCGCATCCTGACATGACTATTCTACTATTGCCTTTCAATTCTTCTCCTGCAGTACGGGCTCTTCCTTTCCAAAATAATTTCTCCAGGCTTCTCTGCCTCTCCTGCTGTCCATCCCATCCAATATTTGTAATTGGGACAAGTGTTTCATCTGAAATCGTATCCTATGTTTCTAGAAAAAGCTGATTATTTCTGACATGATTCTTTTAGTTAACTTTCTTTCAAATTTCCTTGCTCCCTAGTTTCATGCTGACACTTAAGTGCCTGGAGGTAGTCTCCATGAATAGCACTGTGTTACCCAAAGCGTTTACGCTTCCACAGAACTGTGGCCCTAGTAGCCTCTAAGTATCTCACCTTTCTCAATTAAATAAAGCCTGCAGGAATGAAGGGGAAGGAACCTACAAAATTCCTGGGTTCCTCCAAAGCAGTGGTTCTCAAACTTGGGCTGCCACTTGCTCAGGGAAAGCCCCTGGCAGGCCGAGCTGGTTTGTTTACCTGCCATGTCTGCAGGTTTGGCTGATCGTGCCTCCCACAGGCTGCGGTTCGCCGCTCCAGGCCAATGGGGGCTGTGGGAAGGGCAGCCAGCACATCCCTTGTCCTGCACCGCTTCCTGCAGCCCCCGTTGGCCAGGAGCAACGAACCGTGGCCAGTGGGAGCCGCGATCAGCTGAACTTGCGGATGCGGCAGGTAAACAAACCGGCCGAGCCCGCCAGGGGCTTTCCCCAAACAAGCGATGGCCCAAGCTTGAGAACCACTGCTCCAAAGCATTTGCCATACTTCCCACTTTTGGGTACTACCTACCAGAATGCACTCTGGGTGGCAAACAGGAGCCTGGCAGCAGTTGCTGAGACCGCACTTTACCCAGGGAGCTGGCTGAAAACGGACCCTGGCCAGGGTGCTAGCTGGTTCTCTCTGCAACTCTTCCATGTGCAAAGGGCTTAAGCAGAAAGTGCAGCATGAAAGGGCTGAAGAAATTGAGGGATGAAAGGAAATAATGGTGGCCCCTTAGAGTAGGGGTTTTCACTTTCCTAGTCTGGATCACACTTATACTGTCTCAACCACTTGTCCTCAATTACATGGGGCACCACCTCTTCCATTTAATCACATGATATTCCTGTGGCAAATACAGCAATTGCTTGCATGGAAAAGTAATATTAGCTACTTTTAATGCATTTTAGCAGCTGGTAAAAAGGAGGCAAAACAAGTACTATATGCCCAGCATGTTTCATGGACCTGTTTGAGAACCTCTGCACTATATTATCATACACTAGTTCTTTGGACAGTGCCCTGTAAATTAATATTTTAAAAAAAGTAGGTGCAGAATTGCACCTTTAAAAGGATTCCTCTCCTCTGTGCCCTTCCTCCCACCCCCAAATGCTTCCTTTCCTAAAATCCTAGGGGACCACTTCCGCCCCATCACTGAAAGATGGTCCTGCTTCTGTGATCAGGTGGCAAGGTCTCGTTTAGAGCTCTTGGACTCTGTGTCCACACAGACCCGCTTGGCAGCTTGTCCTGGAACCTCACTATCTTTTTCTGCACTGTCACTGTGGCCTCTCTTTGTTTCTAGGTGCTCCTCTTTGTCTGCTCCAGTCTCTTTCTCCCTGCAGTGTGGCAGCTCAATACGTCCCCTGCGCACAAAGTGATTGATCCGGGACTCCAAACCTTCGCACTTGGGACGAGCCAGCAAAGGTTTGTAAGTGCGGGCCTTCACCCCCTCGATGAAACTGCTGACCTGGTTGTGGACTGGGGGCTTCACCTCTCTCCAGAGGACCATTCTGTCCTTCTCTGGGCCTGTAACATACAAAAAAGTCAGATGCTAGAATATCTCAAACAACCCAGGCTACTCATTTCAGGAATTAGCCTTTATCCCTACATGACTTCGATTTGTTAGGCATACTCTCAGAACAATTTTCCTACCTGTCCCTGTGGGTATGACAGCAGAGTCTAGCCCCTGTAACATGTTATATAACATGTGAGTTTTGACTGCATGATTGGCCCAGAGTTGCTGTAGATGAGTAACATTAAACTCCTGAACTTCTTGGTCGTAGATCCACTGGATGTTTTCAAACTCGCAGTCATACAGAACCAGAGGAAATTCCACTGCCATGCTGCAGAGAGGAAAGGAGGAGACATTACCTAACCGTGCACAGGCACAGTCAGCAGGAAGTTAAAACAAAATGATGCAGTGACTTGGGAAAAACCTAGAACACAAGACTGCAGATCCAATGTGATGGCACTGATTTCAGTGGAAAAGATGATGACTAGCTCACTATCTTGTATAAGAGCTGTCAAGTCAGCAGCTCCTTGAACTTATGAGTAATGCTTACATTTTTACTAAGTCCTAAGGAATAAGACCCATCAAGCATGTCATGTTCCTTGCCTGAAGAGCAAAGTTTAAACACTGAGGCAACAGGAAAAGTAGTTTCTCAAGGGCATGTTTTGGAGATTAAGAGGGTATGTTAAGTAGCAGGCTGCCACTGGAATTATTGTCTTCCAGATCACTCTAGGCTTGATAGTGACAGGCTGCTTGGATGTTGATAGGAAGCGTGGCAAGGGCACTTACGGCACTAGATTCAGAAACAGGGACTAAGCTGCATAAATTCTTTAAGGTAAAATTCTCAGGATTTGTCTTGGTAATTCTTGCCTGTACTGTGGTTTTCGAGGGTTCTTCTCGACATCCAATAGCTCATCAATAATCTCTGGATTCTCCATACTCTGTCCAATTAGCAAGAGGATTGCCATCATGCAACGGACTTGATGATAGAGGAATGCCTGGCCTGTGACTTCAAACTGGTACAGTTGGAAAGGGTCCTGTAGCCCAGTTTCCCCTCTTCTATCCACCAGCTGCACCTGTGCTGTGAGAATAGTCCTTTGGAAGTTTGTCACGCCATTGGCTACATCCATCTTGCACAAGTTCCGGAAGTCATGGGTCCCCACATATTTTTGGGCTGCAGCATTCATGAGGGCCACATCTAAATCTGCACGAGGGAAAAAATAGCGATAGGTCCTCTTGAGGCAGCTGAATCTAGCACTGAAGCTGGGCTCTACAGGGGCCCAGGCCAACACGCGTATGTCAGGAGGGAGCACCCGATTTAGGATATGGGTGTAGCGGATTTCGTTGGCAGGACTACTGGTTTGGTCTTCCAAGCCACCCTCATGACCATTCACTTTCTTTCCCTCTGAAAGGTTTGAGCGAAGGTCCAGGGAAATCACCTGTAGGATTGGAAAAAGGGGATTACACTCGGACTTCCTCAAAATAGGCAAAGCAAGCTTCCAATTACACTCCGTTTTAAAGTAAACAAAATCAAGACCTCTGGAAGAGACACTGATCTTCTGGTTTGCTTTAATAACTAGACCTAGCAGTAGTCCCTATTGAAGTGTATAGTTGCAGCTGCTGGAGGTGGTTGGAGTGAGCTAACAGTTTGCTGTTATCTATTTGGTGATCGACTAACAGCCCTCAAAGTCCTAGTAATCCATGGACTATATAGGTATCTTGGAATACTTTCAACCTTGACTTGGAGGAAACATACACTCGGATGGCAACTGAGCTCAGTTCCATGGCTAACTCACTCCTTAACCTCAACAAGGGTGCCAATTTGTGGTGTTTTATACAGACAATTGTCCACTAGGCACTGGCATCAGATCAACTTATTGGTAGACTGGGGCTAGTCTATATGCAAACAAAAACTGCTTTTGGCCCTTATCAAGAAGGTTTGGGTTCAACCCACTGACAGAAGTGGGCGTTTAACCCATTGACATGACCGTATCCTGTTATGTTCTGACTGAAGTGTACAGTCTAAAGCCTTGTCTAAACACAGTTGTACTGTTAATTATACCAATATTGTTAAAGTGGTACAGTCCTCCCAGCGTTCATGTAATGGTTTAAAGGTGCTTACTCGCCTTCTCTAGAGGAATAGCTATACTGGTAAAACTGCCTCCACACTAGGGGTTATGCTGAGTTTACTAGTTAGTTAAAAACCCCACACTCCTAACCATAGTAGTTAACCAGTACAAAGGCAGTATGTAGACAAGACCCAAGTCAACTGGAGACCATTCTGATTTGTTTCACGAGGGTTTTTTGTTTTTTAAAGGAATAAGAATTTAACCAAGTCAACATGTGTTAATGACTGTTTGGGACACTTGGTGCAGTTGTAATTTTGCTTAGCATTGTTCTAAGTTACACACTAATGGCTTGTCTACATGGGGAAATAATGGCAGAATAGCTATTCTGCCATTGCTTCTTGTGTGGATACTTACTCCACAATACGAGTGCCTTTGTGCTGAGTGAGTGTCCATGCAGGGAGTTAGTACAGGAGAGCACTGCACTTTAAAGTCACACCCCCTCACTTATTTCACAATGTCTTCTCCATGTAGACAAGCCTGAAGTGGCTTCCATCATTCATGTCCATTGTGAATTGTTGACTAAATGCATTGCTGAGCACAAAGTTAACTATGGGCTCTCTCTGCAGTGTCCTTTTACATACTAGGAATGCTCCTTACCATGTAAAAAGCAACAGAGGGTCCTGTGGCACCTTTGAGACTAACAGAAGTATTGGGAGCATAAGCTTTCGTGGGTAAGAACCTCACTTCTTCAGTCTTGCATCTGAA